GTTTCACGGACACTTTTTAGATGATACACGGACACTTTTTAGTTGTTACACGGACACTTTTTATGAATAGAATCAGTCGTGCATGATCAGTGAGTTCATGAGCACTTTAAACTTCAAAATTATATTTGAACTGTTTGTTTCACCGACATATTTCCTGTCTTTTTTATTAAAAATTTACGTTGGAATCAATAACTATTTTTCTTTTCAAACAATTCCAGTATATAACTATTCATATCAATACACTAATTGATTGACCATTTAACTTCGAAATGTGGGGTTATAGTTTTTTCCTAAAAAAATATTCTGATCCCCAATTTTATGAGAAAAAAAATATATTGTGGTCAAGCAGATGACAAAATAATGTTCTGATTCCTGATTTTCCGAAGACCGTATATAATAGTGATAATTTCGAAAAAAAAATATTTGGGTGATAGAGTTGAAAAACGAAATAATTTTCTTACTCAGAAAAAAAACATACTCCCCTTTTGAAGCTAAATGATCTGTTCGTTAATGTATTTTGTTTTCAATATATCGACATGGATAGTATTCTGGACAATGCTGAAAGTAACGAAATGCTGGTGCCAACGTTTATATTTCAATAAAAAAAAACCAGGAAATATATATAAAAAAAAATCAATTCTAATCAAAAGATAAAATCCCTATCAACTCACCAATGCACGATTGATCCTATAGATAAAAAGTGTCCGTGTAATACATGTTCAAATAGATAGCACATTTTGAAGAAAATCATTCAACTTATGTCACCAATTTTGGACGGTAAGCTGCGATTGGATCATATTGTGACACGTGTCTAATCTTGATCAACATTATTAGAGACATATAAAAACCTATAGGCATGAACATTTAATAAACAATCCAAAATATATGCCTATATATATATCTTATAACAAGACAAAATCCATTTTTTCACAACATTTCATTCACTAATTAAATAGGAAATTCATTCTTTTTATACATTTATATTGTTGTTGAATTCATATATATTTAATTCATATATTTGGGAGCAAACGTACGATTTTTTTTTTGTTTTTTAAGGGGGAATGGGGGAATGGAATGGCACATCCTGCATTTTTTCAAAAAAAAAGGATCAAGCCTGTTTAATTTAAATTTATTTTAACCCACTTTTTCCTTTTTCCCAAAATAAAAATCAAATGTTAGCTTGCTTACCTCTGAAATGTTTTTCATACATTACTTACTTGCGAAGTTGCATTTTAAAAAGTCTCAAACGTGTTCGACATTCACCTTTTACTTGACATGGTTCTTTTTCATAACATATTAGATTCTTGAATTTCTTGAGAAAAAACTCTCAGCTGAAGGGAAGTGAAAAAAAAGTGTGTTTGAACTCTCACTTACATTAACTGATATATGGTCATTTAAGTTTCTAATCTGTTTAATTTTGCTACCTCTTCTAAATGCAAAATGTACTACTTCTTTCTTGAAACGTCGTACAAGTCAGATACAAAACAAAGGTAACAAAAAAACAGGCCGGAAACAAACTGCCGTATAGTTCTTCTGCACTTGTAGTCAGGTCAAAGTCCTCGGCTATCGCCTCGGACCTTCAACTGACTACTCGTGCAGAAAAACTATCCGGCGACGGTTGTTATCGGCCTGTTTCTTTGCTACCTTTGTATTGTATCTAATACATATACATATGTCATTTATTGGATCGTCACCTTTTGTGTGATATGATTTCAATCAATGAATCGAACAGAATTGGTAATCAATTGACTATCCTCGAAACTCTTTCATGTTATGTTTAAATGAAAACAATCCATCACACATCGATGGGAAATTAAAATGTATTCAAAACTCCATGGACTAATCAATACGTGAACACACGGGTAATCTACTAATCTTCTAGATTGACACTCCTTTGTTGTTTACCTCAATATTTAGACAATTCTCGATATTTATATACTGCGCTGTAAGGTTGATTGCCTTAAATATCATACGATTCAATTGTCGAAAATAAGCTTCTGCTAAATATCTGAATGCCTTTGTTACCAAACAATAGTCTGTAATGGTATGCATAATGGCATAATGTAGTGTTGTGATATTCTATTACATTGACAAACTATTGTTCACACTTCAACATTTATAGACTTTGATGTTTATTTCTGATTGTCAGTATAAACATAACATGTTACCCTTGAAAATTCATTTTTTATTTGCTAACATAAATGCATGGGTTAACTCTAACTGTCTTTTACCTTTGTACCCAAGTAATGTTATCGTTGTCAACATTGGCACATTGTCCTCTAAGCATAAGTTACTTGATATTTTGTCAATCTTCAACAGTTCAAGTCGGTCCTGTCTTTGATGGATAAAGTAATATATTGTATACGACTGAAATAATCGTCCAATTTAAAGTAGATGTTTGCCGAGCTTCTTGTTAATTTAGGTATTGCTAAAAGCTTTGTAGTGATTATCTTTATACTCAATTCATGACATTTGACAGCCTTAGTAAACGTATAAAGGATTGATAATTTAGTTTTAAACATCTCTGATTCAAAACTCTGTATAAATAAAGTCAATTATTTGTACAAGCACACAATCATATCCTATCACTTGGCGTACCGTATGTAAATTTATGTCTTCTGAGCTATTGGATACTTAGGATAAACAAAACTGGTTTTATCTTTCAGAGACAAACTGTTTAAAATTGATCATAACGTCATGTGGATATAACATATTCAAGTAATAAAATGGAAAATATGCGTAATATATAAGTCATAAAACATAAAATATGCAAATGACATTTACTATTTGATCCATACATTAAGCTTGACTCGTAATAAGAAAACGCTAAGTGTATAGTTGTATACCTTAAAAGTCCTCATGTTTTATTATAAGTTACACATTTATTCAAATTACTGTTATTTTGGCAACATTGACTTCTTTAACAAGTAACTTAATTCTAGTCTGAACAATAAGTTAAGTCTTTAAGTCAATTTTCAGACTTATCAATGGAGATCAATCTAGTATCGTTCAGACAATTAGCAGTCAGTTTAATACTATTCGGTAGCTTTTGAGACAATTCAGTATGTTGTTGATGTGTTCAGATAAATATCATAGACTGAACAGATCTTAATTGACTGCAAGCGAACTGTCTGAACAGTACTGCAGTGATCGCTATGGATAAGTCCGAAAAATAACAAAAAGTCAGAAAATGACTCTATATTATGTTGTTTATAGATATAAGAAGATGTGGTTTGAGTGCCAATGAGACAACTCTCCATCCAAGTCAAAATTTATAAAAGTAAACCATTATAGGTCACAGTACGGTCTTCAACACGGAGCCTTGGCTCACACCGAACAGTAAGCTATAAAGGGCCACAAAAAATTACTAGTGTAAAACCGTTCAAACGGGAAAACCAACGGTCTAATCTATATAAGAAACGAGAAACGAGAAACACTCATGAACCACATCAACAAACGACAACTACTGAACATCAGATTCCTGACTTAGGACAGGTGCAAACAAATGCAACGGGTTTAAACGTTTTAATGGTACCACACCTTCACCTTTTTTCTGAAACAAAAGTGTAATATCATATCATAGAAAGACACACTACAAAATATCAACTGAAATAGCTTAACTCAATCAAAGGTTAGTCTTTTAAGAGCTTTTTAGATCACAATGACCGTTTTATACCATAATTGGTTTACCACTGTTTATGTTCAACAAAGAATCCAAAACCGAAATTATTTCAAGAATACTTCAAATTTCTATATTATCGGAGTAAATTATTATATTTGTATGGCCCTGCCGACTTAAGTCGGGCTATATAGTTTTACCCTTTTCTGTCATTTTGTCATTCTGACATTCCGTCATTCTGTCATTCCGTCGTTCTGTCATTCCGTCATGCCGTCACTCTGTCATTCTGCTATTTTGCTATTCCGTCATTCTGTCATTCTGTCTTTCTGTCATTCCTCAACGAACAGTTATGGGGACTTTTTTTTCTAAACGCCTTCACATATTTAGCTAATTTGTAGTATGTGTGTTTACTATGAAGTGGTATAGATCGAGTTTATGTTTGGTTCTGCCTCGCTGATTTTTGACAAATAACGGGTTTTTGGACTTTGCAATTTTCGTCAAAATAACAGTTATACCGAATTACCTCTTGGTTCGGCTCCGCTGATATTTTCCGAAATTACGGGCTTTGGACTTTGAAAAGTTATAATGCTAAAAATGGCACGCATCTAGTTTGTTCTGTATTTTTTTTATATAAATTATACATGTTATTCAATCGAACATAATGTTTGTTACCATACTATATTCTTCTAAAAGGATCAAAATTACAACTAATTCAATTAACTTGGCTTTAATTTTTTTATACAATAAGTCATTGTTTGTCTTTTGCATTTTGCTACTAGTATTCATATATTGGTTTCCTTTTATTTTCAGCTAGTAAGTGACAAGTATCAAACAGATAAGTACAGCTTACATTTATGTACACAGTTTCATTCATAACGATTAAACTATCTCTGCTTACACACTCTGAAGATTGCTTGTTCGAAGGCAACATTTCAGCCCATCTAACATCTACTGTATTATAAAGGGACATAACCTTCTCCCACAATCTCGATCGACCGATCGTGTAGGACCTATGATTGCATAACAAGCATAATTTGTTATGATCCTGTCTTTATGATAATTTATTTACAAATGGAAATCGGGGCAATCCACAATTGAGAATTCCATACATCTTGTTCGATATCAAACACGATTAAAGATCCTGTTTAAGAGAATTAACATACATCATATTACTACAAAACATTCTGCGTTATATACATGTGCGCACGTGAAGAAATTTTTCAAATTCTGCAATTATACTACATAAAAAACCTAGTATATATCTAGGTACATTGTAAACTTATAAAGTTTCACATTGACAAACTATGGTTTCAATCAGTAAATGAAGTTCACATTGCTATTGGTCAGCAATGAACTGGTCTCATTCTGGCAGTATTTGGGTAAAAGATATGCGTACGATTGGTTTCGAACAATCTGTTTTACACAAACGCCCTATATTTTTTTCGATAGATCTCCGATAATGCACCAATTATGGAAGTGATAAAGTACATAAAGTTTTACAACAATACAGATTATAAAGCTATCAACTACTTTGCGTATGTGATGAAACGTTTGATATCGAACACTTATCTGAGTCAGTTGCGTACCAGTAGACATACATGGTCTATATATGTAGGGCTCATGGGAGTTAACGGTTTAAAAATATTGTTTTGTCCTAAATTCAAATACATATGACTTTCTCATTATCAACATTTGAAAGTAATGTGTAATACTTTTTTTTCTTTTATCTTATTATTTCATTATGAAAATATACAACAAAAAAATATTAAGTGAAGATCAACAACAGTTTCCGTATATGAAGCTTGATTTGTTTTCATAATATTACTTCCCTTTGGAAGTCGCTTTTGCGTTTGTATGCCATGTTGTTCGGGAACACTTGTTCAACAGGTCAACTTCAACCGAGAAGTGCTAGAGTGTAGACATGATGGATTTGCAAGTCCTAGGAATGTATAAAATGCTGAATAACAATATTTTACGAACATCTCATTTTATTTACTTAGTCTTCTTATTCTAAGAGGTGGATAGAAGTTTTACATTACTTTTGTACCTAAGTTGTCTATAGATACTTGAGATAACAATGTTTAGAAAAAAACAACATTGTCATCACGCTATCTCTTTCGAGTTTTCTGTTTTCACTGTTATCAATGGCTTTTAAATGTAACGTGCTTACCACTTGAATATTTTGTGAATGTTTTATCTGAAAATGATAGTTCACATCTTCAACATACTAACAAAGCGACATTCAAGTATTATTTTCTTATTATTTTGAGAATACAACATTAACCTACCCGCGTATCCTAACGATGCTCTCCTCGCTATGTTAAAATTTATATAATTGTGTAGATATCTAGAATGTCCGATCAGAACAGTTAAAGTTGTTTTTGAATATATCAACCAATTACTTATGCCAAATCAATTACATATAACAAAACGACAATTATGATAATATATGTTTTCTAATTTCAGTTGTTTCACCTGTCAAAAGTGAGTAATACTGATATAAAAAGAAGGAGATGTGGTATGATTACAAATGAGACAACTATCCTCCACAGACCAATAAATAATAGCAAATCGTACGGCTTTCAACAACGAAAAAGTAAACAATATGGCCTAGTTTGCACATGCTTTACCGTAGTCATGCGAAAGTAATAGTCATGCTTTCGTATGTATTTGTATTACCAACTGAATTATTATTTAACTCTTTTTTTGTTTGGATTTGCTCATTTTAATACTTAAAAATAAAGTTCAAGGTAAATGTGGGTACAGTCCTTGGATGGTGTAAACTTCCCACTCACACCATACACCATTACACCATTCACCATACACCATTACACCATACACCTTGTGCCATTACACCATACACGTTACACTTTGCACCATACACCTTACACATTACACCATACACCATTCCCCATTCTATCTACACGATCCGAAATTACCCATAATGCAATTAAATTTCAAAGAAAGCGTGCGACTACAAAATTATTTATTTGATTTAAAAAACGAATATTGTAAATTAATGTATAAAATTAAAATCTCCGTGGTCATGCCTATGATGGTTATATAAACAATACAGATTAAATATATATACATGTATTTGTAAATAAAGTATGCATAAAACTTTGCTTGTAATGCAAATTTATCCGCGATCTGCCTATCTATAAATTAAAAACGATATTGGTTACAATGCTATTATTATCGGTTTTAACATGTATCGTAAATCTTATAAACTTGGTTTTCAGATAAAATCGACAAACAATGCCAAAAATGAATACTTCAGGATGACTGGTACATGTACAACATGTACAACAAAATTATTTTAAGCATCAACCAAAACTGACCATATTTGCACTTATAATTATACAATTGAGAATGGAAATGGGGAGTGTGTCAATCTGTTAATTTATATAGGGTTAAAAAAATTGGAAATATTTTTGCCCTCCTTTTATTAAAAATATTGTCTCGCTACAAAATTTCAGTAATTTTGATACCTCAGGCTGACTCATATAACAAAATTATTTAACTCATCAACCAAAACTGACCATAATATTTTCACTTTATTATATAGATCTATATAGCCGCATAGTAAATCAGCAATATTTTGATGTCAGGGTGGAGTGTATAATACAAATGACAGCAACATTGCAAAACAACATGTACAATGACAAAAGTTTGTCCCCATCAATCTAGATTGCCAGCATGTCCTCTTTTTATTCAATATATTGTCTCGCAACAAAATTTCAGTAGTTTTGATACCTCAGGTTGACTCGTATAACAAAATTATTTTAACGCATCAACAAAAACTGACCATATTTGCACTTTATTATGTATATCTATAAAGCCACATAGTAAATCAGCAATATCTTGTTGTCAGGATGGATTGTATAACACAAATGACAGCAACAGTGCAATACAATGACAACAAAAATTTGTCCTGATCAATCTAGATAGCCAGCATGAACTCTTTTATTCAAAATATTGTCTCGCAAGAAAATTACAGTAGTTTTGATACCTCAGGCTGAGTCGTATAACAAAATTATTTTAACGCATCAACAAAAACTGACCATATTTGCACTTTATTATGTATATCTATAAAGCCACATAGTAAATCAGCAATATCTTGTTGTCAGGATGGATTGTATAACACAAATGACAGCAACATTGCAATACAATGACAACAAAAATTTGTCCTGATCAATCTAGATAGCCAGCATGACCTCTTTTATTCAAAATATTGTCTCGCAAGAAAATTACAGTAGTTTTGATACCTCAGGCTGAGTCGTATAACAAAATTATTTTAAAGCATCAACCAAAACTGACCATATTTGCACTTTATCATGTAAATCTATATAGCCACATAGTAAATCAGCAATAATTTGATGTCAGAATGGATTGTATAATACAAATGACAGCAACATTGCAACACAATGATGACAAAAAATATACCCATCAATTTAGATAGCCAGCATGTCCTCTTTTTAATTAAAATATGGTCTCGCAACAATTTTTCAGTAATTTTGATACCTAAGGCTGACTTGTATAACAAAATTATTTAAACGCATCAAGAAAAACTGACCATATTTGCACTTTATTATGTATATCTATATAGCTGCATAGTAAATCAGCAATATTTTGATGTCAGGATGGATTGTATAATACTAATGACAGCAACATTGCAATACAATGACAACAAAAATTTGTCCCCATCAATCTAGATAGCCAGCATGTCCTCTTTTTATTCAAAATATTGTCTGTTAAGAAAATTTCAGTAGTTTTGATACCTCAGGCTGACCTGTATAACAAAATTATTTTACAGCATCAACCAAAACTGACCATATTTGCACTTTTAATATTATGTATATCTATATAGCCACATAGTAAAGCAGCTATATTTTATTGTCAGAATGGATTGTATAATACAAATGACAGCAACATTGCAACACAATGACAACAAAAATTATTCCCATCAATTTAGATTGCCAGCATGTCCTCTTTTTATTCAAAATATTGTCTCGCAACAAAATTTCAGTAATTTTAATACCTAAGGCTGACTAGTATAACAAAATTATTTAAACGCATCAACAAAAACTGACCATATTTGCACATTATTATGTATACCTATATAGCCACATAGTAAATCAGCAATATTTTGATGTCAGGATGGATTGTATAATACAAATGACAGCAACATTGCAATACAATGACAACAACAATTTGTTCCTATCAATCTAGATAGCCAGCATGTCCTCTTTTTATTCAAAATATTGTCTCGCAACAAAATTTCAGTAGTTTTGATACCTCAGGCTGACTCGTATAACAAAATTATTTAAACGAATCAACCAAAACTGACCATATTTTGCACTTTATTATGTAAATCTATATAGCCGCATAGTAAACAACAATATTTTGATGTCAGGATGGATTGTATAATACAAATGACAGCAACATTGCAACACAATGACAACAAAAATTTGTCCTCATCAATCTACATGTAGATATCCAGCATGTCCTCTTTTTATTCAAAATATTGTCTCGCATGAAAATTTTAGTAGTTTTGATACCTCAGGCTGACTTGTATAACAAAATTATTTTAAAGCATCAGCCAAAACTGATCATATTAGCATTTTATTATGTCATGTATGTAAATCTATATACATTGATATAGCCGCATAGTAAATCAGCATATAGCCGCAAAGCAAATCAGCAATATTTTGATGTGAGGGTGGATTGTATAATACAAATGACAGCAACATTGCAATACAATGACAACAAAAATTTGTCCCCATATATCTAGATAGCCAGCATGTCCTCTTTTTATTAAAAATATTGTCTCGCAAGAAAATTTCAGTAGTTTTGATACCTCAGGCTGACTCGTATAACAAAATAATTTTAAAGTATCAAACAAAACTGACCATATTTGCACTTTATTATGTAAATCTATATAGCGGCAGCCGCATAGTAAATCAGCAATATTTTGATGTCAAGATGGATTGTATAATACAAATGACAGCAACATTGCAATACAATGATAACAAAATCTTGTCCGTTTTAATTTAGAGTGTCAGCATTTCATCTCTGTATTCGTTATATAAAACTGTCACTAAAGTCAGTATCAGTATCTGTATTTCCAACTTCCATGACTTCTTAATATGGACGGGTACATCACAGATTCCTTTTGGGCTATTGTGTGATGGGTTGGTCTGCGCATAAATTAGTCGTGCTTGCTGAGGTGTGATGATTTAAACTCAGTAGTTCAGGATGGTTTGTATAATAAAACTATTCCACCTCATCATCCAACAGTGTGACTGACATGACAGATTTCATTTGTACTTTATAATGAAAAGTATGAGAAGTTCTCTTCTAGGAAAAGAATACTGTTAGTATATTATGTCGGTTGGTTGATTTTGTTGGTGGCTAAATATCAAGTGGCAAATATTTCATTCCGTTTCACATAAGTATATTTTTTCGGACGTTCAAGATATCATTTATAATCCGTAAAGACAAATCTAACGAAATTGACGAGATTGTTCATAATTATACAACACCTTATGTGCAATAACACTGTACAATTTTCCTTTGAACATTTTTTGGAAAACAGAATCGTAAATCCAAGGCAAACATAGGTTAATGACGATAAGATATTTATAAAGAGACTGTCAAAAGTGGGGAACGAAGCAACTTTAAAAATGATGTTGATAACCCGTGGTATAAAAATACTGTTCCGATGCGTGGATAACCTTTCTATCCGCCTTCAAGTTTAAATAAAATCCTTTCTTTTATGATAACTGCATGTGATCACAAGTGTGTAATTTTAAAGCCATTGTTTAATGTAAATAAGAATATGAAAAAAAAAGATTTTTTAATATGTGTATATTAAATATATATGACATAGAGTCTAACGAGTAAAGTAATTTGCTTTACTGGGAAAAAAGAACAATAGGATTATTATTATTGTTTATGTTTACAATCCGAAAAATTTAAATAAAATGAACTTCGGTTTCAACCAATGAAATGTCGTACACCATTCATTCACACCATTCCCGATCGCACGTTACACAATCACACCATTCCTCATACACCATTACACCATTCCCCTTACACCATACACCATAGCACCATACACCTTCTACCATTGCACCATATGCCATACACCATTACACCATACACGTTATTTTGGGAAGTTTACACCATCCAAGGGCTGTAATTGTCCCCTCGATATCCAAAATCGAAAAGTTCTCAATTGGTTTCTTCAACAAGATAACGAAGACATTTTTGTATATTCGTAAGTTAATTTATATGTGTATGACAATATATGTTCCAGGTCATGTTTGTTTCTGGATTGTATCCTTTGTATGTGTTACAGAACTCTGGTTACTATCGATACCGAACACATAATCATCGAACAAAGAAAAAATTACAAAAATATAAGATTTTATTGAACATTAAATGTATTCAAAAAGGGTTAAGTGCTGTTGACAATAGGCCTTGCATAGCCTTTATATAAGGGGAGATGTCGTTTTGCTTTCCAATCTAAACCTTTGTTGATGTATTAACCAATACGACTGCTCTTCATTGAACTTTAAAATTACCCGAAGTCAGTCAAAAAGAGTTTATATGTATTAACGTAACCGTCTGATTTAAAAATAGCTTCGTGTTTGTTATCAGAATAGATAAAGGTTATAGTTCAAAATAGAGAACGAAAAAATGGAAATCGATGAGGATTACTGAGAGATTGAATTCCTTCGAGCAATATATGAAATGAAACCATTGACAAAATGAGGTTCACTGTGCGAGTAGAAAAATTCCTTCTAAAAGCAAAGAGCACATAAATATTAGGAAAGTTAGTTATTAAAACCTAGCAGACATTTTATTTGAAACAGGTACATTGTGTACAAATATTCAATGTATGTTTTCAGGTATATGGATCCAATCAACTGAGCCCAGAAAGAGAACAATGACAGACAACGTTTGATTATAAAGTTTACTTATCTAACTGACATTTTGTGTTTATATTGAAATTTATATACTATTTCATCATTGTAATTATCTTTGCACGTAACTGTTTTAATTGAACATTTTCTTAAACACGCATCAAAGATACCTTGGTATTAATTGTGTATACATGATTCGCGTTTTGTCTACCCAAGACTGATCAGTGGTACTCGTATTGAAATACTTGGTACACCAAACTGAATTATTTGTACAGTTTTGGATACCGAAAATCATGCCAAATTTTCACCTTTTTCTAATACTGACCAAGAATATACACACCCAGTTAACTGAAGTACTATCATCATAGCATTTAGAAATAAATGTGAATATGTATATTGCCTGTCTGCTTTTTCCGCTATTTTTGTAACTATCACCCCACTAGTGATATACCGACTTTTATTATGCAGTACATACACAATTATCAAAAATTATCAAAAAATCATTTTTACCTGTATGTAATATTTTTGTTTTTATATTTGTTTACATCTAATTCATCCCTCAGCTTGACAAAAACTGTTCAAATCATGCTGTATTTTGTGTACAATCACAGTGTATATATGCACTGAGAGTGGTTGGTTTAGATAGCTATAATACAAGATTTAAAATCCAACAATTTTACATACGGAAGTGCATGTACCACGTCAGAAATATGACAGTTGTTTTCCATTCGTTTGACGTGTTTGAGCTTTTGATTTCGCAGTTTGAACTTTCCATTTTGCATTGTCCTTGGAGAGAGATATTTTGTTATTATACTTTTGACCTAAGTAGGGTACACACACGAGCAAGCAAGTTCCTTTTAAGTAAATACTACCGTTCGATCGTAATAAAGTCACTACAATCTTTATGCAAGTTATGACGCATTTGATGCGTACATGTATTACTAGACACATATTACAATAAAAAAAATTAGTCTGTACGTTTTTCATTTCAAAAATAAATACACTGTATATCCATACCCCTGCAAGCAGATTTTCATATTTGTTTTTTTCATCTTACCACTTTTACTTAAGGAGAGAACAACAACCAAATACAAATATGTAATGTTTCAGATCAGCAAAGAAGAAATTTGTTGAGGTTCAGGGTGAAGTATTGGATTGCCAACTCTATTAAATCTGACTGAAAGAAACAGTATAAGTATTAAAGCTTTTAAACAGATCATAGTGAAGTCTATTTTACTTTTTACAGCATACCTTACATTGCTTTTCAAAATTTACATGGTATGTAGGTAACCCAACATGAGTCTAAAGTCGGCTTTTTTAATACTGGTCTTGATTTTGTACACTTTTTTGCTCACATTTGCTATCATGTGTAAACTTTTTGACAATGCGTGTTCTAGAATGTATCACTAAGTTGTCTGTTTTTTCATAGCTCATGTATGCATAGAGCTAAACGGTGTCGCCTTATTCAATCAATTTACTTGTTTGTGATTTTCAATTCAGACAGTTAAAGCAATTCATGGCTTTGCATGGAAAACAATATATCTGACAAAAAATGTTTAAAACATGCTTTGGCAAAAAAAAGAAAGAAATTGTTTTAAGTATGTAAATAATCCTAATTTTTATTTCAGTTTAATATGGGGCTGAATAAATAACTAAGACCCATTAACCACATCATGGTCCAAAACAATTAAAAATGCTTCCATTTTATCACAGGATTGCAAATTAATCTTAAAGAAATCTAGTTTTGACATACTTGTGTGAACAAAAAATAATACAATCATTTACTGTTTTTTTAATTACGGTGACAATCATAGTATGTACAGACAACTTAAAAATATCTCGTTTCAAATTCATGTTCAAATTCATGTGTCAGGCACTACGAAAAGTTATAGCGAGCATTCATTAAAAAAAAGTATACCAAGTTACATTAAGATTGTGAAGTTCTTCTTTCAATGTTGACAGTAGTACCCACAGATATGGCAAACATTTTCCCACAGGCGTTGAAATTAAGGACTGTTCTTACTCAAATTGGCCAAGGAAGGTACACAAAAAAGTATTTTAGCTCCCTGAAAGTTAGTATAACTGTTCCGTCGTTTAAAAAAGTCGTTCAAAGGAAAATAAAAACAGTTAAAGAGTGCAAGAAATTTAATACTTGTTTAAAATGATTGCTAATTGACCTACGTTCAAATAATATACTCATCTGATTGATTTTGTTTATTGTTTGTCACCAACAAAATACAGATCAGTGTAATTTATTAAATAATCAGAAAAATCAATGTGTATAATTTGAATCATAAAAGGGAATTCAAAATATATATTATTTTGATAAAAAAAAACAAATCACAATTGTGTACGTCAAATTTTAAAAATCTGACTGAGTGTGCTTTTGACAAATCTTTGAACGTCACTGATAGGTAGATTTATTTCTTTTAGATACTTTGTATCTGTGTTTCTCCAAATTGATACATGTGCATATGGATTGTATAATTGAGTTTACAATTTAATCAGCATGGTGTATTATTACACCTTGTTGTGAAATATAACCGACATTGTGTAACCTTTAATTTTCCAGGTATGACTATTTATGTTATTGTATAATTCGACAACGGAAGTATAGCATATTGTTACAACATTGATACGGCTTTCGTTATGGAAATTGTCAAATGTTCATCAAATACTGTTTTAATTGTCTTTCATTAATTACACAATTTGTCTTATTGAACACTAAAACCAATTATAATTGCTCTAGGAGCAATCGTTATATATAATAACAAACATTATTATACACATTCTGGAATGTATCAACAGTCAATTATTAGATTGTTCACCCACACAAACTTCAAAGGTTTTTTGCGATCCAAAAATAAAGGCAACAGTAGTATACCGCAGTTCAAAAGTCATAAAATAAATTCGAGTTACAAATTAAAATCGATGAAAAGACATCAACTATAAGAGGAAAACATACGGAACAACAGAAACACTGAACTGCAGCAAAAAAAAAAACAAAAAAAAAAAACGCCAACATACACAGAAACGGACTATTTGATAACAACTGTCATATTCCTGATTTGGTACAAGACATTTTAAGAAAAAATGGTGGGTTGAACCTGGTTTTATGGCTAGCCAAACATCCCTCTTATATGGCAATGTTAAACAATACCGCTAAAATAACAACACTACGTGACAGGAATACAGTACAAATAAACGCTCGAATACTCAGCAAAGAGAAATACATAAATACATAATATAATAGTACACTGACGTATTTTTGTGACGTATATATTAATCTTGAAATTCATACAATTATATGGAACGAGATCAAAAAATTCACAATTATTTTCACAAGACTAGTCCAAATAATAATCAATTATTTGGACTAACACAATACTTTATCCATGCAAAAAATGGAATTAATCTCGACTATACTGACAAATAAGACATATGTAAAATTTTCCGAAAATACAGAATTCAAACCACAAACGATAAAAAATAACACAATATCAAACCGTACATACAAAAGAAACATCATCACTAAATACATGAATGTTGGATGTATGAATACCGAGACACGTCGTATACTAATGCGAATTCACACTCGGCAAAACAGTCATATTCGGGAATAAGTCACGTTCGGTACTTAGCAAACCAGACGACGTAGATTGAAAACCACAATCTGAGACGTGGCAAAGATGTCGTTAGTTATTTTAGACACAGAGACATCGTATAGATCAACCAATTCGTGATGGTGTCCATACAATTTTAGGAGTGTCATTTTTAATCTTTCCTCCTCGTAACTCTTTTGGAGCAGTTTCTGCGTAGGAGCACACCCCTGTATATAAAGTCCGTATAGTGTGAACATGCACAAGCATAACGTATTAATCGAGATATTTAAACACCATACGACGGAGCAGAGGGTATGTTACTGCTGAGAAAATGGGAAATTGATGATTGGGAAGTTGAAATCATCCCGTTTGTCATAGATTTTAGTGTGAAGTCGTCCATCTGTGTGAATATTGAGGAAAAGATCAAGGTATGAAACAGTCCTTCTAGTATCAGTAGTATCCTTAATTTCACGTTCACTAGGGTATATGAGATGCAAGTGCTGACTGAAGTATGGGTTATTCAGTGATAGTACATCATCAATATATCTGATTGTAAAATCAAAGAATTTTGAAAGGTGCTTTTTCTTTTTATCTTTTAGACAAACCACTTAAAAATTGATATGAAATCAAGATTAGATATAAAATAAATAAAGTGACTCGCTACAATTTATTCAATTTGTATTTGTTCCATGTTTACATTTTTTTTTGGTAGAACTGAAAGGATGTTTAAAGGTTTAAAATAATATGGAAGAAGCAATATATGTATTAATGGTCTTACATGTAATTGGCTGATATATTATTGATGTTTAACGAATCTTTATATCTCTTTGTTTTATTAGTGGAGATAGCCGTAGTACCCTGTGAAAACCACTGACTTTTAGCAAATAATTTGGCACTACCGGTCAATTAAAATTAAATGATCAGTGATGACACATTTCTTAAACCATTCGGCCACCGAAGACATTCCAACGTTTGACCTTTAAGTAAACCATGAAATAATAACTACTGTCTCCTTTGTTAAGAAATCCAAACAACAAATTCTTAATAACGTTCAACCTGAAGATTATGATTCAATATTGAAATATAGTTCAGGTCATTGCACCTCTGGTTTTTTGTTGAGTTAGTGTTGCTAAATCTTAAGTTTTATCCAATGTGTTGTTTTCGCAGTTGTTTTTTTACCTTGTTGTCGTCTTGGTTTAATGAAGTAACTATATGTAAATAATATCTTCTTCCTTTTTTCTCTGTTAAAACAATAATTTTAAAAGAAGCTATGACACAAAGTTGTAAATTCCGAAGCCAGAACTGCTTACCTTCACCAAACTCCCCGGCAGTTCCAGCTCCGATCCGCATACTACTCTATACTAATCACTGCCTTCGGCTTTTTTCGTAATCCGATCTTCAAGCTGTTTGACCCGGATTGACCTTTCGTTGCTACTGAAGGAAATATGGCTGCACATTGATGAAAGGATATTTTTTACCAACTGTACCATTAAATGTGGACAAACACAATTAAAGTAAGTAAAACAAACTCAATCCAAATAATATTACAACATCAAAGTTTTTGAAA